TTACCTCCCCGTTTTTGGGTTGAGGCTCTCCACACCGCATTCTATTTACATAATATTTTGCCCACCAAACGCCTAAAGCTTCTTACTCCTACGTTTGCATTATATCAGAAACACCCTACCTATGATCATCTACGGGTATTTGGATGTGCGTGTTATCCCGACATGTCCGCCACACAACCTCACAGACTTTACCCTCGATCCATACGTTGTGTCTTTCTTGGCTATCCCTCTGAGTTTTGAGGTTACCGGTGTCTTGACCCTACTTTCGGGAAAGTTTATATATCTCGTCATGTTCAATTTAACGAGTCATCCTTCCCCTTTATTGAACCAATACCGACCCAAAACTACAATTTCCTATCCAATGATTCCAACAATTTTCACAATTTCCAATTTCCTTCCTCCGCCTACCAACCTTCTACACCAACACCCCTGGCTACCCAATCCACTGTACCCACTGTCCTCGATCCAACTTTCGATGACCAGCCCTCAATTCCCACCTCCCCACCTCAACCGTCCTCTCCTACATTTCCTACTATTCCATCAGCTTCCACTGCCCCTTGTAACACACACCCGATGACCACCAGGGATAAGGTCGGGGTCTCTAAGCCTAATCCTTGCTATGCATTTCACTCCTCTTATATCTCTCCATTTCCCACCTCTTACATCAAAGCTTTAGCTGACCCTAATTGGCAACGACCCATGATTAATGAATATAAATCATTAATGGATAATAGCACTTGGGAGTTGGTACCTAGACCGGCATCTCATCCAGTTATACAGTGAAAGTGGCTATTTCGCCACAAGTTTAAGTATGATGGCAGTCTTGACAGGTACAAAGCTCGCTTGGTTGTAAACGGGAAGTATCAAACAGTAGGAATTGATTGCATTGAGACTTCTAGCCCGGTTGTTAAACCGGAAACCATCACACCGTTTTATTTTTAGCTCTTACAAGAAATTGGCCAATTAATTAGTTAGACGTTAAAAACGTGTTTCTCCATGGACATTTGGAAGAAAAATTTTACATGCATCATCCATTGGGTTTCATAGACAACACTAAACCACAACATGTATGCCGATTATGAAAATCTTTGTACGGTCTTAAGCAGGCACCTCGAGCATGGTTCACTCGTTTTTTGATGTTTATTACATCACATGGTTTTAAAGGAAGCAGTTATGATAGCTCCCTATTTGTTTATCACCACAGGGATAAACTTGCTTATTTACTTTTATATGTTGATGATATCGTGCTCACCGCTTCATCTACAGAGCTTCTTCACAACATCATACAAACCTTTTCCCAAGAGTTTTCCATGACAAATATGGGCTCCTTTCACCATTTCCTTGGCATTACTGTCACTAGAGACTCAACAGGTATGTTTTTGTCTCAGTCACAGTATGCTAAAGACATTTTGCATCAAGCTAACATGACCTCTTGTAAACCGTGCGCTACCCCAGTGGATATGTCCTCTAAGCTTTGTGCAACTGATGGCGCACTCCTTTCAGATGGTAGCATTTATAGGAGCTTGGCTGGAGCCCTGCAGTACTTAACTTTCACACATCCCGACATCTCTTATGTTGTACAACAGGTTTGCTTATTTATGCATGCTCCTCAAGAACCACACTTGCCTTTCATGAAGAGGATACTCCGGTATATACAAGGGACTATTGACTTCGGCTTACGACTTCGTAGTACCCCCAGCACTTCGCTTACAGCCTACTCCGATGCTGATTGGGGGGGGGGGGGTTACCCCAATTCAAGGCGGTCAACTTCAGGTTATTGTGTTTATCTCGGTAATAATCTTATCTCTTGGTTGTCAAAACGACAACCCAAAATTTCTAGATCCAGCGCTGAGGCTGAATATCGAGGTATTGCAAACGCCATCGCTGAACAAGTTAACTCCGGAACCTTTTACTTGATCTTCACGGTCCTCTACGGCGAGCCACGATAGTATATTGTGATAATGTATCCGCAGTCTACTTATCAAGTAATCCCGTGCAACACCAACGAACAAAACATGTGGAGTTTGATATTCACTTCGTCTGTGACAAGGTTCGGTTGGGTCACATTCGAGTTCTTCATGTGCCATCTGCACATCAGTATGCTGATATTTTTACCAAAGGACTTTCAAGGCATCTGTTTCGGGACTTCCGCGACAATTTGAGTGTTCGTTCCACATCCCGCTCAAACTGAGGGGGAATATTAGCATAATATATACTGTAAATTAGCGTAATATACATTGTATTTATTATCATATATGTATTGTGAGGAAAGTCAATAATCCCCCTAATTTAGAAGAGGTTAGTTAGTCATACATGTATTATATATATTGTCTCGACAATCAGTGAGGGGGAAACATAGAATATTGGCTTTTAATAACGACCATAAACAATGAAATAATAAAAAATGTACCTCCATCCCTTTCGAGGTACCAACATTGTCTCTGGGAGTCTTATTGATAAGTTTTAGAAGCATGGCTAAAGTACCATCATGCTCTGCTAAACGCTCCTCCTGAGACTACAACTACTCGTGATATTGACAAACTTCATTTTTCAATTGAACGAATTCGTTCTGCAAGTCGCTAATATTTGGTCCTTATGAATCGATGGGTCAGCGGCCGGCGGTGGTGGTGGTGGCGGGTGAAATGGATCATCTATATGTGCCTTCTTTTCTCGATGCTCATGGGTAGGGGAGTTTTTGGGTGATGGTGTTAGGTAAGGTGCCTTATGAACATTAGTGTCAGGAAAATCTGGGCGATCAATCCACATCGGGATAACAATCCACCATTCAGCACGCATCTCATCTTCTGTCGGCTCCAACTTTGGTATGAGTCTATTATCCTGCTAACAAAATTATAAAATTATAAATAAACACAAATTATAAAATAAATAAATATTTAAATAATAAAGTAATATTACGTCGTCTATTTGTAACAGCTGGTTGCGGTGAGTCTTTTGTAACCCCCTTAGTTTTGACCATGCAACAGTCCGAGGGATCACATTTTGTTGTCGGGTACCAAATAAACTGCTCACCGGAAAAGTCTCAAGAATCCATGTCTTAAAAAATAAATAAAAAATAGTTAGAATGTTACCAAACAAAAATAAATAATAAACTTTTCATTATATACTTACATTAAAAGCATATAAAAACCCCTTTATGGTGTAGGTTAATTTTTGAAGTTCGTTCTCTTTCGGTTCGTCTGGATGTATACCTTCACAACCTTATTAAATACAGTAAAAAATTGTTTGTACAATTGATCCCAACTTATCCTAACCCATGGATATCTGCCACATAAAATAAAAAATTAGTTAACAATTAAATTTATAAAAAATATTAGTAATGATAATGAATAATTAAAAAATAGACAACATTATATCTATTGAATTCATCAAGGTTGCATAGCAAAGCAAACTACTCTTCTGTAACATGTTGTTCAGCCAACCTTCCATTGAAACCCTTCTCTAAGAGGTATAGAATATATACACGGACTGCATGCTCATCCACTCATTAAGTGATTGTTTAAACACATCTGTAACATGATGTAATGTGACCGAGACATTCGTCGGGACCATAGGAAAGACACAGGAACGAAAGGCAGCACCAGATGCAAAAGATGGAAAATAGTCACTGAATTGGAAGTTGGTGATGAGACAAAGTTCTTTCTTCTCGAAAAACAGCTCGTAACCCCCAATCTCAAAAACCATTTCCTCTACTTGGCTTCGGGGGTCGGTGACAACTTCATGGGAAAAGAGTTAATATAGAAGCAAAGGATCCCCATCTACATTAGGAATGTCCAACCACCACCCGAAACATGTATTCCATAACATAGAATCGCATTCGGGTCTGTTTCTAAATGCACAAGGATTTCCCTGTCGATTTTAGGTTTACACAAGAGTGTAATTAATGCATCAATAATCATGTTATGCTACACAAATAAAAATAGGTGTTAGCACTTCATTATAAAATGGAAATGACCAATACCTCGGACCTATTCTTGATGTTTCAGACGCGTTCATTGTGTTCTTGAATTGTTCTTCGCGTTCCGGAATGACAGTTTAAGATCCAGAACACGACATTTCAATGTAAATCAACAATAACTACACATCTAAACTACTTTTCAGTTGGTCCTACATCAATGACATCTTTAATTTAAACATTGGAACGTTTTTAGTTCATTCCGGATGTAGTCTACTACATCTGGAACAGAGTAAGTAACAGTAGAAAACGAAGAACATACCCGTAAAATAGCGGGGCCATAGTGCTCGTCTTCCATGTCGGAGATGGGTGTTAAGTTGGCACGCAATAATCTAGTTGGAACGTCGGAATCGAGTCAGAATGTCGGAATCGGAATACGCCTTTTCCGAAATGAAGTTGTCACCTCAAATTATATTCCGGATTTTGAAATTCAAAATCCCGATCCAGAACATATACGGGTGCTCCGAAATAGGTATTCCGGACCCAATGAAAAGCGAAAAATAATCCGGAATTCGTTCCAGAACGACCCATTCCAGAATATGTGGTTATTTTGCAATATATGTATATATATATATATATATATATATATATATATATATATATATATATATATATATATAGGCTTAGGTTATTTTGTTTAAACTAATTATTGTGTTATTGTATTAGTAAATGTGGACAAATCAGATATCTAATTTTTAAAGGAAAATGATTATCATTAATTTAATATTCAATAAATGAAAAGGCTTCTCATTTAAAGAAAACGGATCAGGAAGGGTATATGTGTACATTTGTCCTCTCCATTATAATAGGAAACTGCCTTTATTTTCATAACTTCCCGCACAATCCCTACAACTTCGCATAAATCCGGATTCCACTACCCTATGTATTGGAACATAAAATCAATGTATAACCTCTATAATTAACCAAAGATATCAGTAGATTCTGTTGGTTTTTTATTATAAAGTCAATTGTTCTTGAAGATTTTTTAAGGAAATTGCATTGTGATCGGAAAAAAATTTGCAGTACAATGAGGAATACAAGGACGACTTCTTTCAAATCGAAGTTCACGAATACAAAAGAAACAGTTTTGAATCTAGATGAAGATGATGATGATTTCGTTTCTCCGCCTATAGGTAATTTTTTTTTTTGGTTTTATTTAACTTAATCGGTTGAATACACAACATTCTTTTGGAATGTTTGAACAATGAAGTAGATGCATGTGGTTGTTTAGTTCGTTTAAGTAACATATAACAAAGTTCTGTAAAAAGGGAGTTTTTTTATTAGGGTTTTTTGAAATTGAGGATTTACAAAGTAATCAAAAAAATTTATTTTACAGATATGGTAGTGTCATTTTGCAAGAACATGGTTTGTGATTTTATTTTTATTTGATTTTCTTGAAATATGAAATATTTTTAATTAGTAGTTTTATTCCTATTTTTTTGATGGTTTACTTTATTTGTATTTACTGTGTGTATGTAATTCTAACAGAATCCGTGTAATTAAATGTGATAAATTCGTAAAGAATTTGGAACATCTGAAGGGGCTGTAGCGGTTATATAATACTAATTCTCATAGAATTAGTGTAAAGTAATGTTCCTATGGGGATTACTATTAAGTATGTGTCTATGTGTTTGTTTCTCTATGTTTGTTACTGTGCTTTTTGATGCTTTAATTGTATTGTAGTAAACGTTTGGCTTTAATTTTCTAATAGAAATTATTGTGTGTGTATGTTTCCTTTCTTACAGAGTGAAAATATAAAAAGGTACTGATAGTGTGTATAAAACATTGAAGTATCTATTGTTAATTTGAAAAGCATAAAAATTCTAATAGAATCATTTTAAAAGAATGTGTTTACATGCTTAAAGAATTGTAACATAATAAGTGTATATAGTGGTCATATAGATTGGAGTGTGACTACTTAATCTGGAGATTGCTATTAAGTAACTATATGTATTTTTATTACTGTGATGTTTGTTGATTTAATATATTTGTATTTATTGTTTGGATTAAATTCTGTTAGAAACAGTTATTGTATTTGTATTGCATTCTTACAGAATGAAAACCTAAAAAATATTTATATGTTTTATAGGTAATGAAGTATGGTTGGTTACTTTGAAAACTATTATTAATCGACTTTAATCATTCATTTCATTAGTTGTTGTAGAAGCCGATAGAGTCCCAATTAATGTTGATACTACAAGCCAAACAAATGTGAGAAGGACCTATCGTACAGGATCAGCACCGTAAAAGAGAGAATCAGTACTCAACCTACAGGTAGATTTAATAGTTTTGGTTGATGAAGTAAAATAACAAAAAATTTAGATCATATTGATAGCCAATATGTATTTTTTGTTAATTAATGAAGCAGAAGGTGTCGGAAGTGAAACAAATGATATAAAGATTGTTGGATCAAGCAAAACAAAGAAACAGAGGAAAACAAACTCAAGATCAGAACATGGAAAGAACAATGTAGATTATGGGAAATCAGGTTAGATGATAAGTGCTTGTGTCAATGGGATTTGGTTCACTTCTTCATATTGACATAGACACTACTCCGGGTTTACTTAACTACTATTTGCTAGATCACTATGATCCAGATAGTAGCTGTCTAGTTCTGGATAATATGGTCATACCAATTACAAAAGAAACAGTGCATGACATATTGGGTTTACCAAATGAGGGGGGAAGACTTTTTTTTTTATCATGAGTAGTTGTGATAAAGATAATGAAGTTCTCCAAGAAAGGGAAAGTCAATATGATAAAAAAGGGTTTAATGGTGAAGAATACTTGTAAAGGATAAAAAACACAAAGCAAGACAGTCTTATGTTTAGGCTGAATTTCCTGACCCTTTTCATTAACACATTTGTTGAATCAACTTTGAGTGGTACCAATCACATAAATATGGTCAATAAGTTGGTGTTGGTAAAAGACTTCGCTAAAATTAATTGGTGCAAATATATTCTAGATTGTTTGGTCAGCAGAAAACAACTGTGGAGAAGAGATGATAAGACATGCTATTACCGTGGACCTATACTCGTTCTGACAGTAATATTGTTGTCTATATTAGATATTTACTTTACTTTGGAATGGAATATGTATAATGAAGTAATTAATGAATTTTAATATTTTTGATGTAGCTGGTGTATGTATATAGGATGAAGTTCACAGGTTTGAAGATAGTGAAAATGATACCGTTTGTTAGAATGTTACGAGTGCTCTACTTGAAAAACTATAGAAGTTGGAGATTAGTGCTGGGGGGTTTGGTAGGCAGCTATTGGAAAAATTTGAAGATATTGTTGATGATGATGGAATGGTTCATGAAGATGAGATGTTGGATGGGATACTGAGGGATTATGGTGCCGAGGAGGTAAGCTATGAATTCGATAAGAATATGGATCATTATTTTTGTCAGAATTGTAAAAAAATGATAATTTAATATAAAAGCTACATGCTACGAGGCTGATTTAAATTGTATGATGTGATTTATAGTTATTGAGTTATTTGGAATGTGGAACAGTAATGCTATTAGAATTTTAATAATGACATGTTAATATAAAACTTACAGGCATACGTGGCTGTTATCGAGCATCGCTATGGAGTAATATTGTCCGAAAAGAAGAATATTGAAAAAGCTCCAAAACATGGAATTGAGAAATTCCCAGACAGCTTGATGTTGAAGGAGTGGTGTGAAAAAAATAAAGAATTGTTCAAAGAAGTGAATAATGCAGACGCTGGAGGAATGAAATATAACGAAGCTAGTTTTGATGGTGATAGTAACAAAGGAGAGGCAGATGGTGGTAAAGAAGAAGGATTGTCTCCGTCCACGATTGGTAATTCATGGCGAAAAGAATGATGATGGTGGAGGTTTCAGTACACCTAATATGGATAAGGTAGATAATACAGACAATCTAAGCTGTTCACAATTCTTGGAGCATCCTGAAGTGTTGGCAACAACAATTAAAATGACAGAAGATGTTGTGTTGGAAAGTTATATATATATATATATATATATATATATATATATATATATATATAAGAGGAAAGAAAATCATCTTGGAAATAGATGAGGTATGTGAAGAAGATGATGACAACGGAAGAAGGGGAAAAAGAGAGCAAAAGTTACCTGTATATGGAAAATCACCTTTTGTTGAAAGGATTGTTAGAATTAGTGACAAGGTGAAGAAGGATGAAATGTCATTATACAATTCAGTCTTTAAATCAAAAAGAGATTATGGGTAAATTAAATAATATAATTTATTGGATTTGCTTTTATTATGTGGTGTTATAAAATTGATCATTTTATAATTGTCGAGCACGAAAGAGATATGGAACTGTGTTGCATCAAGGGTTCGCATATCATTTTAAAACCAACACATACATTCATGTGATAATCATTGACTGTTGGTCATCACTACTCAACATAATGGAGGAACTAAGGGATGTACGATCAGTTTCTAGAATTTTCTTTGACACGATTTTTTTGGTAAGTATTTAAATTAAATTTAGTTCCAGTCCAATAATATGTGTTGTGTTGATTGATTATTAATCTGTACAGGCAGAAGAGATAATGGGTGGATCACTGTCATCTGAAAGAACTCAGAAGTTATTTGATTCGATGTTGAAACTCCACCTTAGAAGTCTACCAAAACAGGAAAAGCTTAAGGATATTGGACTGGTAATTTAATTGAATATTGGTTTTCATCAATTACAACCCTAACATACAAAAGTAGCGTATTGGACTACTATATGTGTTATTACAGGTTTTCTTCCCAGTAGTTGAGAATAGTAAATATTATCTGATATGCTTTGATCTAAAGGTTCCAACGTACTACATTAGAGACCATCTAAACCGAAATGGTGCTGTTGAGGACATCTATGGAATAAAACTCATTCATGTGGTATGATCAAGATTTATTTTTTGTAAGATTTAAAAAACATGAGTTTAGTAGTGTATCGTAAAATGATTGTATTATATCGCAGGAAAAATTGCTTGGGCCTATTTAAAAATAGAGAATTACCAGAAGTCAACAGCTTTCAACAAGATTAACGCTCGTGTAATGAAAATGACATGGAAAGTAGAGAAAGAAGGATCAGATTGTGGAGTATATCTTATGAGGCATATGGAGTCATATATATGGGGGAAAATGAAGGGCGTTGGGAATGCAGTTTTACAGGAAAAAAACAGAGTGATGTGGTTGCATTAAATAATCTACGAATCAAATACATGGCAAAGCTTATGAAATTGGAGTACAACAAACATAAAAGTATGTTGGAGAAAGATGCAGAAGCGTATGAGAGGCTCGATCCATTGCAACTATTGGCTATGATGAACGAAGTGAAGGGATGCAGGGAGAAGCAGAAACGTGGAAGGCATTGATATTAAGATGGGCATTTTATGATGTTAGGATGGTTTGTGTTGAAAGACTTTTGGTAGTACGTTTGGTTTATGTCTATGTTTTTTATTTAGGGAACTATGTTAGGTTGTTTTATTTTGTTCTAGTGTTATTTGTTTTGGGGAAACAATTTATTATGGTAGGTTGGTTTATGTTGAAAGACTTTTGGTAACATGGTTTGTTTTGGTCTAGGTATTTTGCTTGGGGAACAATGTTAATGTGTTTTATTATGTTCTAGAATTTTTGGTTTTTGGGAAACAATTGAATGTGAATGGTGTTTGTTCTAGTAGATTTTTTTTCAACAATCTAAATATGATATGCATTTGTTGAAAGATGGTTTGAAATGCACATGTAAGGTTTTTTTCAACAATCTAATTATGGTTTGCATTTGTTGGTGAAGTTTGATAAAAGTTAGTGGAGACATTAATAGTGGATAGAAATTGTTACAATTATATGCACTTGGTATTCTGATAAAATATATGTGCTTGATTACAAATGGTAGAATGTATGAACATTAAGATTTTCCATGTTTGTTTCAATGTTGTATTTCAGACAAGATACACATTAATTGTGGTAGAGTGTATGAAGATTATGTTGTTACAAGTTAGGATAGTCATTAATCGTATATAAGAATTGTTATAAATTTATGAATATCATGTTCTAAAAGAGTACAATGAGTTGATTACAGGTGCTAGAATGTATGAGGATAATGTTATAACAAGTTAGGATACACATTAACCATGGATAAGAATTGTTTGAATTGTCTGTACACAACATTCTGAAAGAATATAGTAACTTATGTTACAAATGGTATAGTGTATGAAAGTTATGCTATTCCATTTTTTGGCTGAATATATTCATTATTTTGATTGTTACATAGTAGTGTTTTTTAAGGGTCTTAAATTTATAAAATATCGAAATTGTTGTCATTCTTATAAAAGAAAGTATGTAAATTGGAATACCTATACAAATATGTTATGCTTTTTTATTTCCGGTATTAAATTGTTGAGTCAGGATTGACCTATATGGCTTAATGTTAACTATGTTTAATGTGATTAGGAAAAATTATGTTTTTGTGGAATTAAAAAACTAATGGAAAATAGTACATAGTTATAAAGTTGGGGAAACAAGGTTGGATAAATCAGTAAAACAAAGTATGCAAATGTGTATAACAATATATGATAATTTTATTAAAGACTATGAAATTTGTAAGCAATAAAAGAATTAAAGATGAAACAAAAAAGTTTTACTGCAATATAAAAATAAGACAAAAACTACAACTAAAGCATACTAATTAGACACGTTTTTTAAGAGGGCAATTTCGTTTATCATGCTTAGTCATCTGTTTACATAAAGCACACTTTCGCTTAGGCTTCGAACATACTTTTTCCAGCATTTCTTTTTTTGATTTTAATCTCTTATCACGACTGCCAGTTCCCTTATTACGAATATCTGATGGATTGTCAATATTGGGAGCATCATCAGTTAATTATACGCCTATAATTTGGTTGTATAATGATTCTCTTGATGGCATCTCAAGGGCTGGACAATCATCTATAGTTTTTTTCTTCAGCTTATTCAACTTTTCAAGGCATGACTTTAACTTCGATGCATCATGGCTTAAAAATGAAACACAATGATCTACATTTAAGAAAATTTCAATAGTCGTCATGTCAGTGTGAGAGTCTAGTAAAGAATTAGAAAAATGCCTTTTAAGCAATTATGTTGGAACAACATCTCGGCGCTGCCGTCTCATAATGTATTCTTCATGAATCTGTTCAATACTATAGTACTTAAAGACACAAAATACCGACATGTTCAAAATGCATGTAGGTACATTTGTATGAACCGCCTATTGTTAAGTGTGTAACTTGGAATATGTATGATAAAATACGAGTTTCAGTAATAAAGTCTTGTTGTGTGATTAAAAAAAATTATGCAGTGTTAAAGTAATAACGTACAATGTATTGGGTATCCTCTGTATGACGATCGTAATGGTATTCCTCAAGTTTGTCATCAACAACAGGACTTGATGGTTTCCTTGTTGTTATGTTCTTTTGCTTCTCCAAACCAATAATAGTGTCAACACCATTATTAGAAGTAATACTCATTTGGAAACAAGTGTTATCAGAATCTAAAATCTATATCTACACCTAATAAATTTTTTTACAAGTGTAGACCTTTGAAGCATGTGGTTCAATTGGACTAGATGTGATGAATCTAGGAAGTGTTGTAGCAGTGTTAAAGTTGTTGACAACTTGATTGCGCCTTTGAACGTTCTATAACACCTTCAAATGTCATCATAAACATTAAAAGATAAGAACCAGTACGAGTATTGTTCTGTTGTTCTGAAACGATAGTTCTCATATAACCAGCCATCGATATGTTCTTGAAAAATGCAGGTACCCAAAGTCTACGCAACTCATACATCTCTTTCAACCACTTGTTATTTGAAATGTTAAACTCATTTAAACAAGATTTCCATTCCTTTTCAAAATAATGTGGTTCCAGCTTAGAATTCCATATTATAGAGTGAAAACGCTTTCGAAAAGCTCAGTTTGTGGTTAGTTGCGATGTTATCTGAATATATATATATATATATATATATATATATATGTACAAAAAATATAATCGTGTTGTACAACGAATAAAGGGTATGAATGGTGTGAAACATAAATTCTAACAGAAATTTGGTTAAAATTCTATCAGAATACCATTCTGAATTGCAGATCTGTAATATATTATGTTCTCAAATAATTAATTTGTGATTGAACAATATGTACTAACAAGGTAAACATAATGACTTTGTTTTGAATATAAAAAAATATCCACCTTGTTTGGAAGTTTTTTTGTAATATGTCACATACAAAACCTGTGTGCTGGCATTGGAAATACTTCATTAACAACCTTGTTTAAAGCTGGATCTTGATCTGTAAGAACAAGCGTAGGTTGTTTTTTGAATGCTTTCAAAAATGCTCTAAGCAGCCAAGAGTAAGAACTACCATATTCTCTACTCAAAAGTTCAGCACCAAAAGTCACACATTTCATATGATTATCTATCCCAGTGAAAGGTACGAAAACCATATCATATATGTTTAAAAAAAAAACTTGGTAAGCGTTATTGGAAGCAAGAAAATTATGTGAAAACATTGGAAAATTAGAAAATACTTATTCATGCTGAATGTGGCATATAGAGAAACAACATCTCCAAAAGCATTGTAGTTGTACTTTGCAGTTTCGTCAGCCCAAAAAATCGAATTCAATTTTTTCTCAACAACTTTAAAATCAAAAGAAAAACTTGTGATATTTTTTTCCTTTCTAGCATCTTCACTACAAGGAATTTTGCATCCGTGGAACCTATGTAAGAATTGAGATTTCTCGTACTGTTCTTGAAATCAGAAACCAACCCACCTTGAATGTCAGAACCACCCTGAAGTCCAGAATACAATCTATGTGCTCTTGAGGCACCAATATTTTGCTTTGACAAGTTATGAATAAAAATCTCCTGTGAACAATCAAGTTTTCTCTTTGTACGAGACAAAAACATATTGTCCTTACCAAACAACTTATGATTATGTTGTACGACAAATTCAACAACAATATATTTATTAGTACCATGTACTAGAAAAAAACAATTTTCACTTTGCATTCGCACCTAAATGAATATTTCCTTCTCTGAATCTTATTATGTTGAGGGTCCAAAGTATCCACTTTAGCGGTTGTTGGTTTACCTTCCCGATTGCATAGCAAACGTCATTGTATTGTAATGCCGGATTCGGTTGTTCTAAATGGTCCAAGCCTAACATCAAAGTTTGCTAATGATGCATAATTGTAATACATTGATAATGTTGCTGTATATGAATCAAAAATTGAATTGATTTTAGGTTTGATGTTGTCTGAAACAGCAGGAATCCAAAAAGATGATCCACCAGGAGAAACATAATCATGTGTGGCATGAGATTGTTCTGCATACAAAAAAATGGCAAAGAATTAATCTAGTTTATTAAAAAAAATTCTTATTCATATACTAACCTTTCTAAAAATCAATGTTATCATCGTCTATACTATAATCTGCCTCATTATCATTGAACTCGAACACGTTTTCTGCATCTTTTAATTATAGTATGTGTAATGCGTACGTAAATATATATAAAAAAGAAAAAAAATACTTAAAACACATCACCTGGGTTATGATTACTAGAATCACCGAAATGATATTCAGAATTGTCATATATGGGATCTTGAATGTGTTCTAATGGATCCTCATCTTTGCAAGTGCAATTTACGAAATATAAAATTTCAACATTAGTATTACAAAATTAACAAATATAAAAACTTATAAAGTAAGTTACCTATATTTAGATTGCTGTTGTTGGATATTTGAAACTCGACGTTACGTAGAGAATCATAATCCCGTAACCCAAAATCTTCATAATCCTTAGGATATTCGTGTTGATCATGAATATGATCGTCACCAATTGATAGTGTATCATCCATGAGATAAGTAACAGCACGATTGAACACCAGTTGATTAGAGAAAACAAAATAAATTCAATATTACACACTTTGAGTCAATTCAATGTATATTAAAAAAGGAGAAACCGTGAAATTGATATGTAACTAAAAAAGCGTGATATCTGCATTCATTGTTATCAATTATTTAGTTTTTTAAATTTTTAGAAAGATTGTAAAGATAAGAATCAACACAAAATCGTATTATTCATCATGATATTGTAAATATTTGACATATTTATATTCCAAATATAATAAATTCCATAGATAAGACTTCGACACATCATGCTTTTTAAATTAGACTTTTAATAAATTAATTCAACAAACTTTTAAAAAAATCAATTAATATCACAAGAGTGTTATTCTGTTAGAATATTTGAAACAAGATTAACAATAAAATTTATTTTTCAAACATCTGTTATGTACATTCTCGAACAACTTATCATAGACATACTCATACCACGGTATCATGATACCACAATCTTATTCCGTAAGAATATATGTAATAATAATAACATTACATTTATTTTGATCATGTTTAATCTGTATATTGTAATACAAATTGCTATTATGGTAGAATTTGATAACAAAAATTCTAACAGAATCTTTGATTAATCAATGAGTAAAACGAATTTGGAAACACTTATTCTTTACGAACAATAAGAATTGTATTTTTGTTTATTATGTATCGTGTAATCAACAGTTATATTCTAGTATTGTTGATAATAAGAACTGTGTTTTTGTTTGTTCTATACGAATAATAAGAATTGTATTTTATATCGATCATTCTAACAGAATGTGTACATATAACATTAAGTATAACACAATTTACGAAGATTTGATTTATACAAAAATATGAGAACAAAACATTTACAACAACATATTTGTAGTCACATGATAAATAAGAAAATGTATATTTATGAAATTTTAATCAAACTCAAAATGAAATTTATTAATGTTAGTTGAATGAAAACATAAACTTACAAAGAGAAACTCCTATAATCCATGAATCCATATTATTATTATACTTAAATAAAACTCCATAAAATCCGATAAGACTAAATTGAAAACATTATTTAATTCTTAAAATATGTTAACGAACTAAACATCTACTCTCTCTTGACCCTTGCTTGAGGACATTTCCTCCAATCATGACTAACACCAAAACAAATCCTACATCTTCTTAATTTCTTCCGATCATGATGCACTTGGCATTGATTCACATTCCGATCATTGTTATCACAAAATTCCTTCTTAATGTTATCAATATTATATTTGTTCCGAAAAACACAAGAATAAAATTCAAAATATGAAATTCACCACTGAAATATCATAAATAACAAATATGAAATGAATCTGATAACAATTATACTGAACTATGAATATAACAAAATTTATATTCATATGATAAACGATAATACAACATTATCAAAGTAAAAACGTTCATGACCAACATACCTCCATTAACGAAATATCAGAATAAAAAATGATTTGAAGATGATGAACGATGAATCTGCAATGGAAAACATATACGATGGATATATATATATATATATATATATATATATATATATATATATATATATATATATATATATATATATATATAGAGAGAGAGAGAGAGAGAGAGAGGCTATTTTCGTTGATGTAATCCGTATTTAATAGCCTGATATTTAGGAATTTGATTGATATCAATCATACTTTAACTAACTCGGAAAATATAAATGATATTGTAAGATTACAGTAATACCCTTTAAGAATGATTGATACACATTTATGCATACAATAACACAATACTTACTTAAAACACATTAACCTATCTCTCTCTCTCTCTGTATATATATATATATATATATATATATATATATATATATATATATATATATATATATATATATATATAGGGGAGAGTTCATGCAAAAATGCAAATAATTTGCGAAAACGCGAAAACAAGAAAACCTATGAGATTGTGTCACCTCAGCATTATCTTTTTGGACAATAATTCATCCAAACTTTGAAATATATGATGATAATCGATAATAGATGAGAAATTGTGTCATATTAGCAAAGTATGATTTTTTTAAATTTTTATTATGAAAACGTGAATTTAAAAATGGTTAAGGACGTGAAAAAAAAAGTAATTATTAAAAACATTTTTAAATCTATATTATCATAACACAATCCAATGTAAACTTATTATCTTTAATTTTTTGCTAATAAATTTATTTTTTTATGGTACATGTGTTTTATAAGATAAAATTTGTTTCCACGTTTTCGCAAGATATTTATGTTTTCGCATTAACCTACTTCTCTCTCTCTCTCTCTCTCTCTCTCTCTCTATATATATATATATATATATATATATATATATATATATATATATATATATATATATTAACAAAACCTAAAAAAATGATTAGATTACTTAATTTCCTCAATATAAACTTTGGAGACCTTTATCAGTTCCATCTCACCATATCATATTTGTCATGTTTAATTTCTCATATTTTTTCAGTTTAATTTCTCAATATCATATTTACTCTTCATAAATCTTCAAAATGTCATATTTGCCCAAATCTTTTTTTATAATGTTTTTAATGTTTTATAATCATTTTATACCTTAGAATTATTATAATAATTAAGAAATTTAACCATATTATTCTTACGTCTATTGATAATGGAATGTGAACTTCTAAATTGTTGGAATGTCGACTTCTTTATAGACAAAAGGATTCATCTTCAACCCTTTCTATGGAATGTATATTTTGATTGTTTAGTTTTTGTTGTTGTTGATTATTATCTTGTTGTAGATGGAGGATATTTTAGATATTACTATTGATATTTTAATGTTTAAAAAGTATAAATACGGTATTTTGATATTTAAGAATAACATATATAATATTTTGATGTTTAAAAAGGACATATATGATATTTTGAAATTTTATGACGGTTAATATGATACTCAGAAGACAAAATTGCAAAAATGGTCCCTATGGTTGGCAAAATTATGTAATTTCGGTCCAAAATGAAATATTGGTGCACCAGTGGTCCAATTTTAGATCTTTCTATTGTTTTTGGTCCCTATACACTTGAAAAGATGATTTTGCCCTCATAACTTATATTTTTAATTTTCTTTAATTGCTGAAACATATATGTTAAATTAATATATATTTTTTTAACTTTAAAAAAAAAGGTCTACCCACCATTTCTCTTTCCCTCTCTCTCAACAAACACACACACACACTCAAGAAAGAACATATCACCACTAGTGGTCATCACCATCACCACCGTTTGCTACCACTGTTCGCCACCATTACCATTGACCGCCACCATTGTCCACCATAAACATCCAATCCCACCCTCACCCCCATCTTTCCTTCCTCATGCCCAATAAAACTTCCCCATCAACACTGCCCTTCTAATCGATTTGGTTCTAATTTGGAGCTGTTGTTCATTAATTTGAAAGAGAAGGAGAAAAGTTTGTGATGAATAATATATAGGAGCAAAAGTAAAAGAACAGATAATTGTGTGAGGATTTGAAGAAGAAGAAGAAGAAACAAAAATAGAGTGTGTGGGTCAGCCAAAGGTGAGTCGTTTTCAATGGTATAACTTTATTTGTCTCTTTGTCAATTCATCGAACACCTTATGTGCTTGACAACCTTCCACACTTGTGAAAGCGATTCATCATTAGAATCATTCCTTATTCCAAGATCACATTTTTCCCCTCTCTGATTTCTTCTAAGCAAAACCAAAATCTTAAATTCCACAAGTCACCTTAATCACCCACAATCGAACACCTTCATTCACCCCTTTCCGAACCACCAGATATCACCCTTATATCGGATCCTTGAGAGTTGCGATAAAAAATACATACATGCACCTATTAATCGAGACATTAGGGTTTACTGGTTTAAAGTGGTTGACTCTTGACAAATTTGATATCGATTTCGCCCCTTTATATATCTTCTACTTCTCAATCGATTTCAAAAAGTGTGTGTGTGTGTGTGTGCGCATGTGTGTGAATCCTTACTAAAGCGATGATGAGCTAAGAATTCTTCCAAATATGCAGATTCTTCGAGACCGGTGACCCTTTGTGGGGTTTTCTTCCTCATCTTCGGCATCGATCTAAGAGACGCAAAGCAACATAATCGATGACCTTGGGTCGCTCGAAGAAAGAAGAACGGAGGCGGCATCCAACGATGAAACTCGAACGGAAGGTAGACAGAAGAATGGTCTGGTAGAACAAGGCAGGCAGGTGGGGGTTGGTAGAGTTTGCTCGATGGGAGGAGAAGAGAAGTGCGAGAGATGAGGTTCTTGGGACAGCAGATGAAGAGAGAGAGAGAGAGAGAGAGAGAGAGAGAGAGGGAGAAAGAGAGAGAGAGAGAGAGAGAGAGAGAGAGTGTGTGGTAGGTTTATTTTGTTAGCCGTCTATCTAATTGAGTCGTTTTGTAATGTTGAATTGACTTAGCCGTCTATCTAACTCCTACTCTTTCAACATGCTCAATCTTCTGCCTCCAAACTATTAGTTTTTCCTCTCCACCTACGTAACTCCTACTCTTTCAACATGTTCAATCTTTTAACCTCACATGACATGACATATTTCAAGGTATAACCCTAACCCGAAACCCGACATGAACTCGACACGAAAATAAACGGGTTGACACGACACGACATGTTAATTAAATGGGTCGGGTTAGGGTCAAGCACTTTCAACCCGTTTAGTGTTTCGACAAGACACGAACCCGACACGACACGACACGATTGCCACCTTTAAGTTCTTGTACTAATTATGTTGGACAAATTTCAATAGGAAGCCCAATTGCATCACTCATTGATCATTAACCCTATTAGACATATAGTCATTATCTTTTCTTCACGTCAATAACTGCTTAATTTTATGGTACTTACACGAATGGATTCGTGTATTGCATGGAATTTTGTGCTATCATATCACCTCATCTTCAATCTATGGGTATTTATCAATTATTTTTATTCAACACCCTACAACTTATAATAATAATATATATTAAACCTTCAACTTTTTAATTCTTTTACTTTCAAACCTTATCGTTAAAGTTATTTATTTATAATAATATATTAAAAATATATATTTTTAACAGCCTTTTATAAATAATATTTCTAAAGTAAAAAAAAAATCCCGTAATTGCGTCCAAAATAATAGACACTATGAAGAGAAAATTTGAATTCGTGTTCATATCATGACATTATAAATATAAAAAATATAAAAATTAAGCGAAAACAAAGGAAAATGTTTCAATCATTATCTTTATAAAATTATCTCTACCTATTTTCTCGTATGGCCATAGGATGTTCCAGAAAAAACTTAAGTAATTTTACTGCATTACCATTTATCCACCGTTTAATTAAATAAAAACTACCTGGTTTCTAAGAAATTACCAAAATTACCTTTCTTAATCATAGCATGGGGTGGTAGTGGTGGCGACGGTTGTGGTGGTAGCGATGGTGGACAACGTGACGGATGTGGTGGCGGTGGCGGTGGTAGTGACAACGATGATGAAGGTGGTGGCAAGGATAGCGGTGGCACTGGTGGTAGTAGGGGTAGTGATATTGTCATATTTTTACATGTTTTTAGGCAATATTTAAGTACATTTTAATTAATATTTTGGTTATTTGCATGGAATAATGATACTTATAAGGTTAAATTGTATTTTGCAGCCAAATTGTAACGCCTCATTCCTGGTATGCAATTATTTAAGTTATTATAGTTCTAGTTGAGCTACTCGACGAGTTGGTAGCCCTAACTCGTCGAGTAGATGGCAAAAAGGACGCGAGATTTAAAGAGTCTACTCGGCGAGTCCAAGCATAAACTCGACTAGTAGGTCTGCCATAGGGAAACCCTATTTTCGGGGTCTTGCACCCTATTTAAGCATCATATTTAGCCTCCCTTCCAGTTTTATCACCTCTTAACCCTAATCAATCTTATGCATTCTTGAGCCATTCTTCCTTGTATTTGTGTGGTTTGAAGCTAGGAGAACGAAGGCAAAGAGTGAAGACATCAAAGGAGGGCAGAAGATCTCGAGTTCTTGGGTCATCTTAGACTAGTTAAAGGTAAAAAGCTAATACCTTGGTTTCTATTTGAGTTTCATACAAGTATTTCCTCACTCGAGTATCAGCAGTTAGTTATACGAGGTGAGTTTCCCTTCAGTAGGAACGAGTCTAAGGCACTTATGACTTTTGATGGTTTATGGTTTTAATAATGAATTGAAAACGAAATTTTTGGGTCATATTTTTGGGATGTTTCACAAATAGAAGACATTTTGAAGAAAATGGACTAAAAGCGTCAAAGAATGGAACCCTGGAGGATGAAGACTTGAAAGAATAAAAATCCAGCAAAAACACGCTCTCATGACGTGAGTATTAAAGGCTCACAGCGTGAGTTGGGACATTCCAGAAGATAAACATCGCGGATCAGGAATCCTTGTCGAACACGGATATCTACTGAACTCACGACGTGAGACTTACTTGCTTGATTTGATATTAGATTACTTTAACTTCTTATTCTGTGTAGTTAGTGACCATTAATTGCATGAATTCGAATGCCTAATCACATATTTCTCATTTGTCGCTCTAATGCTCCAGCGTACCGGGAGCAATGGGGTATGCCTAATCATAAATGATTGTATAGTAGAGAGGTATAATCATATAGGATTATACATGTTTATATGTATATGCCTAATCATAATTGATTATACATATATGTCTCTGTTCACAGATTGAGTAATCATAAATGATTATGACAGTCGGTGGCAGAAAAGATGGTTGTGACAGAGGTGGCGGTGGTATAAGTAACTGAGGTGACAGTGGTGGGGTCGGCTAGTGTCATGGGTGGTGGTGGTGGTGGTGGCGGTGGCGGTTATGGTGGTGGAGGAGAAAGGAATGGGTGGCGTTGTATAATCATTTATGATTATACCAGGCCTGCCACGCCGGTACGTCGGAAGGTTAGAGCGGCATATGTGAAATACATAGTTGAGATTGAATTTCAAGATCTCTATTTTATTTTTAATGTCAACAGAACCTATATATATATATATATATATATATATATATATATATATATATATATATATATATATATATATACACACACGCATTAAAGTTGTAAAATAGTATAAGGTTTGATTTTAGAATTATTAAAAGTGTAAGGGCATTTAATGTAACTTGGAAAGTAACTTCTTTGTGAATTTGTATAACACCGATACAAATTTAATATAAATATATTAAAAATGGTCAAATTTAGTAACTGTCGTATATCATTCAATCAATCCATTCGTGTATTTGGAAGTGAATCACTGAATTGGTGCATTTAGAATTCCCCCAATATTATTTGTCATGTCATAAAGAATGTTAAACCCAAGTTATAAACTTGATATTAATTGGTTGATGGGATGTTGCTGGATTATAAAGTGTTGAAGTTCAAATTTGAATCACCTCTAAACATATACAGTAAAGTAACTGAATTTCTTATGATTCCAATCAATTCCATATCTCAGAATTTATTACTAACGAATCAGTAACGGTCAAATTCATACAAATTTGATTCATCATTAATTTCAAGTTAATTACACACAAAAATTCAAGAGTATTTCTTCTTCATTTTGAGCCAACTATATACACAAAAACATCGTCTCTTTGTTTAAGCCACAACAATGTCTAATAATCAAGGCCATGGAGAATCCAGACATAATCAAGGCCATGGAGAATCCAGACAAAATCAAAATGCACCTAAGCAAGAGTTGCAACCACACCCAGTAATGGAGCAACTTTCTGGTGTTCAGTATTGTGTTAATAGTCCACCTCCATGGAGTCAGTAATCATTCTCTTCTTGTAAATTTTTACAATTCTACACATTCAAAAAAGATAGCTGATAATTCTTGTATATATCTTTTGCAAATGTAGAGGAAGCAGTGTTATTGGGGTTCCAACATTACGTTTTGTCTTTGGGTACTAATGTGTTGATATCAACCATGACAGTTTCTCAAATGGGTGGTGACAATGTAAGTAATTAGTTACAAGTATCCATTTATATCTGATTATCAATTATGAAACATTACATTCAATGAAGAAATTACAAGTTTGAATCTTGTTGAATGAATCGATCCAGGCTGAGAAAGCCAGGGTGATTCAAACGCTGCTTTTTCTTTCAGGATTCAACACATTAACGCAAACCATGTTTGGAACTCGATTGCCATCTGTTGTTGGTGGATCACATGCGTTTTTAGTCCCTGTAATCTCCATAATTCATGCTAAAAGATATCGTATGTATCAAGAACCTCATCAGGTACCTACATCATCTTATCAAACATATTGACTGTTTTTTTTCCCTTCTTCTTCTTCTTCAATTCTAATGGTTTAATTTATTTGGTGTGTTGGAAAAAGAGATTTGCACAGACCATGAGAGGAATACAAGGTGCTCTTGTCATCGCCTCAGCTTTCCAGATGATTCTTGGATTCCTTGGTTTGTGGAGAAACGTTGTAAAGTAAAGTGTTTGATGTTAATTACTCAATTTACTTATTGTATGTTTGTTTATATTAACTATATATGTGTTATGTGTGTATAGGTATCTTAGCCCTCTTTCGGTTGTTCCTCTTGTTACTTTCACTGGACTTGGCCTTTATCATCTTGCTTTTCCCATGGTAAGATCCATTTCTAGTTCTAAAAAAGATAATAATTGGGATGAAAGAAAAAGAAAGAAAATAACTTTTTTTTTTTATTTTACTTTTTCTTGTTGTTTTAGTTGGGAAAATGCATAGAAATCGGGCTTGGGGAGTTGGTGTTGATAGTCCTCATCTCACAGGCAAGTTCTAGTTCTGGAGAAATCACTGATAATATTTAGTTATTAATATAAAGAAAGTGAAACTAACTTTGTATATATGCATGATCATTTATTGACTTTTTGTAGTATCTTCCTCCATATATGACCTCCAAGAAGCCAATATGTGATCGGTTTGTGGTGTTGTTTTCTGTGTCGATTGCATGGACATGTGCTGGAATCTTGACATGGAGTGGTGCATACAACAAATCTACAGACACTTTAAACACTTGTCGAACAGATCATTCTGGACTCATACATGGAGCTCCTTGGTATACTTTTATTCAAAACTTGCGTTGTAGTTCTTAGTGATGTTATTGTTATAAATGACTAACTAGTAACTACACAGGATCTATGTTCCTTATCCATTTCAATGGGGTACTCCTACTTTTGATGTTGGTGAAGTTATCACCATGATAGTTGCTTCTTTCGTCTCTTCCATTGAGGTTTAATTAAATTCTAGATCTCCTCTACCTATGTCTTTAATTTATTATATTTTTTAATTTCCTAAATGCATGCATTGGAAAAATTAATCTTTTTCTTCATGTGTAGTCAACAGGGTCGTTTAGTGCATCAGCAAGATATGGAAGCGCCACTCCTGTCCCACCTTCTGTTTTGAGCCGTGGTATTGGCTGGCTGGTATATATACGCATTACAAATTTAATTGAGATTAAAATAAAACTAAAATAAAAAAATAGATAAATAACACATTTTTTTGTTGTTGTTAGGGAGTAGGGACTTTCATCGGTGGCATGTGTGGAAATGTTACTGGATTTGCTGCATCCATGTAATGACAACAACTTAATGATCTTGTGAACTTTCATATTAACAATATTTAGCCATTTTTACCTTTTATGAAGCACAAAATCCCATGATTTGTAGTGAAAATTCTGGTGCATTGGCTTTAACTAGAGTTGGGAGTCGACGTGTGATTCAAATATCAGCTGCTTTTATGATCTTCTTCTCAGTCTTTGGTATCCCCACCTTCTTTCCTTTCATCAAAATTTGCTCTCAGACTAATTAACTGATCATTGTTTTAATGTTTTCCATTCAACAGGAAAGTTTGGAGCTTTTTTTGCTTCAATACCTTTACCAATCTTTTCAGCTTTATACTGTATCTTGCTTGGTTGTGTATGTATGTCCCACTTCCTAATTCATCACTACCATACATTTTCATATCCAATTAATTAATACAAGTTATTGTTAAATTTGAATGCAGCTTCAGTAGGTCTAGGACACTTGCAGTTCTGTAATCTCAACAGTTTCAGGACCAAAATCATATTAGGCCTTTCTTTCTCCCTTGGACTTTCACTTCCACAGTTCTTTCGAGAACATTGGGTCTCCAATCATGGCCCCATGCACACCCATGCAAAATGGGTATGTTTGACTTCATATCTTTTACATAGGCCAATCAGTATCAGTATCAGTATCAGTTAACAGTGCATATAATTTGGTTTGCAGTTTGACAACATGGTGTCGGTGGTGTTGATGTCACATGCAAGTGTTGCAGTGATGATTGCAGTGATATTGGACTGCACGATTACTCATGGGAAAAACGAGAATGGGAAAGAATGGTGGGAGAAGTTTGCAGTGTATGGAAAAGATGTTCGAAGTGATGAGTTTTATAAACTTCCATGGAAACTTAACAAGTTATTCCCAGCGTTATAATTCATATGTTTCTAATGTTAGATGAATTTTGGCAATATGACCCTTTTTTTTATCCTTTCCCACGATATGAATCAAATTCAATTTCTTCATTGTCCAATTTTCTTTCAAAAAAATTATAACTCAACACTACTATATACGCCCAAAAGTCTTGTTGAAGTTACATATCCATGACATATAAATATGACACCTTGATGAAAAAGAAAACTAAAAACTAAAACATGAAATATGAAGTAGTCCCAATAGGAGAAAGACATGAAGGTTTGTTTGTTTGTACATATGATGTTTGACATGAAGAGTGTTAGAAAGAAGCTGAGGTTGTTCTTCTGAGTTGATACTTTGGTTCAGGAGGAGGTACACATGGCAAAACGTTCTCTGCCTCCTGCAAACAGATATTAAAATAATCAACAAAAAAAAATTCGCACATATTCATGATTTTGATTAAATTCTAGTTTTCTTTTCTTAAAAAAAAGAGATACCTGCTCTCTTCTCAGTCTTTCATTTTCCTCTTCCAAACGTGAAACTTTGTTCTCCAGTTCATGGGTATAAGCCTATCCAAGTTTATACAACTTTCTTATAACATGATAGTATTTCTAGGATTAAAAATAAATATAAATTTGGAAAACATACCTGTTTTCTTGCTCGTGAACGTGCAGCAGATTCCCTGTTCTTGATCATTCTTTTTTGCCTTCTTTCCACAGTCTTCTCCATCACATCTCCAGATGCAACTCTTTTCTTGCCAGGAATTTGTGTATCAGAAAGAGTGGCCATCAATGGAGACATTGTCATCTGAGTCTCGGAATAAGCAGTCTCCATAGGAAGTGGCTGCTGAACTTGATGATGACCTGGAATAAACACATGTTGTGGCTGCTGTTGAATTGGCTGGATCTGATACTGCTGCATCCATTGTGCTTGTTGTGGATTGATATTTTGTTGGGGCAATGGAATTGATTCAACTCCTGCAACAGAAACAGGATTCTTCTTCTTCTTCTCGTGAGAAGATTCTGCAACAATCCCTGCTTTGGCCAAGAAATCCTCCAGTGTCATCTCACCAAGAGTTGGTTGTTTCTCTCGTGTAGTTTTCCCTTCAAGATTGTTATCATTACTAACGCTACTATGAGTAGTAGTACTCTTCTTCTTTTGGATATCTTGCCATAACTCATCAACAGTTTTCTTGCTAAGATCTGGCATGGATGATGTGTGTTGATGTACAGGACCTTGATTAGATTCAGCTTCAGCACTCCAAACATTCTTGAGAAGCTCATCGAGATTCATACTACTCAAAGGTTTCCCTAAATCCCCTAATTGTTGTTGAACCTCATCCAATGTTAGGTTATACAAAGGGCCTTGTTTTGACAATCCGTCGGATTTAGGATGTTGGGTTCCACCATTTCCACCACCACCACCATGCGATCCCATGGTTCGAGTCCCCATAGATAAAACCCTAACCTATATACACTAATCAATTTCTTCGAAGAGATGAATTTCAAATTCCGAAATGGAAAAATCGATCCCTTTTCCTCTAAACAATCGAAATCCGCGACTCCTTACCTGCGATTGAAAATTCGAAAGAGAAACAACTCAAATCTGTATGATTTGTTAGCGGAATTCGAACTAAAGTTCATGAATTCTATTCGACCTTCCTAATTCAAGATAATCGGCGTTGAATGAGGAATTGATGATACAAACCGGATTGGAGGAAAAACTAACCAGAGATGCAAAATTTTGAAAAGGGGGAAGAATCATGGGGCTGGTAAGATGGATTTAGGCTCTTCTTCCATGCAGCAGAAGCAGCAGCAACATATGTTCACCATTTTCTTCCATAACAAAACATTTATTCCAGAGAAATCAGCAATCTTAGAACACAAGTGATCAATTATATACTCTAATGTAATAAAATAACCCAAATTCAATCATACTCCCGTTAAATAAATAAATAAATAGAAAATTACATAAAAACCCATAAGTGCTTTTAAAAATTACAGTTTTACACTAAATCATTTTTATACCTAATTTGGAAGTTTTCAAGATTTGTTGCATGCATCCGTCATTTAGCAGAATTCACCATTCTCAGCGGTTACCAAGCTGATGTGACATCAAACGTGTCATGTTAAAAACATTTTTACCCCCGTTTAGCAACGTTATGTCTTGAGAAGCCAAAAAAACCAACTTTGCGTACCTCAATGGAGCTGGAAACCTTGGCCTTTTGCAAGTAATTATTAACGTAAAATGGGGTTTAAGAGGAAATGAAGGCTTACAGGGTGGTATAGTTTCAAGAGTGAGACAAAAAGTTGGGTAATTGAAGGTGTTGGTTGAAGAAATACGTGCACATGTATATTATTTTGTCATGTAAGATAGAATTTTTTGTTCTTTCATAATGTTGTTGGTTGATTGTTGGTGTTAATAACGTTTGTTTGGACCGAAAAAACTGATCGGAATCGGTACGGTTGGTACCGCATAAGGTATGTCGGTCTGGTTATCAGTTATGCATTTGACTCTTATTGAGTTATCAGGAAAACAAAGTTCGATATTACCAAGCGATTCCAAATAACAGAAACCTGTAGTGCAACAATTTGTATTCTGTTTCTCTCATGCTTCTATTCATAGTTGTAAAATGTCTCTATACCTATTTCACATTAAAAGAATATGTTCATGCCCTCCCTTTTGTCTTTTTTTTCCAATCAGTTTAATGATGATGTGTATTTTAATGACAATATCATAGTTCGTCTACAACGTAGCTTAGAAGAAACATAGGTTGCAAAGTGCAACAAAAACAATGAAGTGATGTTGAACAAGTTTAGATTTTTAAACACGCCTAGGATTTTGATTTTAATCATATGACGTGTTCTCTCTAATTGTCTCTAATTGTCTATGTAATCATAAATGCAAGCTATAGTAACCATCATGGAACTTCCCAAAAACCGAGATAAAATTTTCATTTTTAAAATCCAACCAAAAACCACAATTGTTTACAAAACATTGTTTCCAAAGATAATAATCACATATCAGAGTGTCCCAAAATCAAATATCATAAATCAGGAGGATATGCTTAATTACGTCTTTGCTTTCCCCTGATCATGTACTTGAAACATAAAACTTAAAATGTAAGTCAAAACTTACTGACTTCCCCCAAAATATCACACAACAAAACATATACAAAACACATACTAGGTCCACAACCTCCTGGTTGGATTACCCCCGGCCCACAACCTTCCGGTTAGAATGTTCAAGTTTGTTGGCTTACAGCACAAAGTAATGCATCCTCAACCCAACCACACTATGTCGACATATACAACACATAACATATAACCAACAAACATATAATCATATAGATCTTCCAGTATAACACATACTCAACATAACATCAATCTGGTATACCAGGATACATAATCCAGTGGGTCGGTATTGGTGTCATCGATCCACAAGTACAGTGAGGTGAAAATTCACCTCACAGTCTAACGAAATAGTTAAACAACACATCGCTCTGAATACAACTCTACCAATCACCTTTACAACAAACAGTAACCAAACCTTAGACTACAACTCAAAATACCCAAAATACCCCTAGGTCAAAGTCAAAGGTCAAAAAGTCAACCGAGTTGACTCAGGCTGAGTACGCCTAGCGTACTCAGCATGTACGCTTAGCGTACACACAATCTAGGATATGGAGGCTTAATGGGGTACGTGTAGGCGCGCATCGTACTCAAAAGTACGCCCAACATACTCTTCTACCAACCTTTCCTTCTAATAAGAGCTTAATATAATAAGTCTTTTCGTTCCAAAACCCATATCTAGTCCCAAATAGTGTTCTAAACCATAAAGTTTGCAACTTTATGATCTTGCATGGCTATTAAGTGCCCAAACCTTAAAACCCTATCTTCTTAACCCAATAAGACATTATAACCTTTGCATGGAAGGACTAGAAGGGCCAAGATCACATTTCTATCACTCTAGGCACTCTAAAACGTCCAAAAGGACAACACATTTGGTCTAGAGTAGCTCATACTCAAATAAACCAAGGGTATGTGGCTAAAAGCCACAAAACTCTATAACCACCACGATCTAATGAAACAACCAACAAGTTCAGAGCTTTATACCTTTACACAAAGCTTGAGGGCAAGATGCTTTTGGATCCAAAGAGGTCTTGAGCTTCTAAGGTGAATCCACTTCCTTCTTCCACTTTCAAGAACACCAAAAACATACTCCAATGCTCAAAATGCTCACAAAGGTGGATAAGGGTTTGCAATATACGAAATGGTGCTGGAGGCTGATGGGGGAAGGAGTCTGGGGAGTTAATGATGCTTAAATAGGGTCCAAAACCTAAAAACTAGGTTTTGGCCTTCGGCCACATACGCCTATGTACAAGGCTAAAAGGCGTCATCCTCATTAATCCACCATGGGACTAATTTTGCAATAACTTTCATGCATAAGGGTCCAAAATGTAATTTTCCAGGATTATGAATGTCACAATTCTCCCCCACTTGAATCAGACTCGAAGTCCGCTGCCGCGAATACCTCAGGGTTGTAACATACGGATTTCCAGGTATCATAATTTAAATATTTGTTTTTGAGATGAGAAGAGGGACTCGACGAGTTGACGCCTAAACTCGTCGAGTAGGATCGCGACTGATGACTCGGATTAATGAATGGACTCGACGAGTCGGAGAGTCGACTCGACGAGTCCGTGTTGTTGGCAGAAACCCTAAATCTTTGGGCCTGAGCCCTATTTAAAGGCACTTATGGCCTTCAATTACGGCTACCTTTCCAGAAGAGAGAACCCTAGCGAGTTTGAGTGTGTAGAGTGAGAGGAAGAGCTATCTTGAGCTATTTGGTGTGATTTTGCAAAGGAGGAGAAGAGTTCCAGCAAGAAGGACCAGAGGAGGTTGTTGTTCTAAGTTAGTCAAGCAAGGAGCTTAATTCTGAGGTACCAAATCGAACCCCTCTTCTTCCCTATTGTGTAGATTCCATTTTTGGGGTTAGGGCTTAAATCGCTTCATTTTTGG